GTCCCACACACACACCTACTACCTTTACACCCACCACTCTCACACCCACACACACACACACTCCACTACTACACTGCATTACTCTGCTCTATTCCTCACACACACCACTACTTCCCACCCACCACTTACTCTGGTTTCACACCCACTAAATTTTACTATTTGCTCCTCCACCCACTCACTCCACACACACACACCCAACACACCACCATTTCACTCTTCTCTCCTCACTCATTTGCACCATTTGCTCTTTACACCCACCACTACCTGTTTTACACCTGTCATTTTGTTTGATATCCACACACACTACTACCTGGTTTCACACCCATCACTACTCTGCCTCACACCCACCACTCTCCATCTCACACACACTTCACACCCACCCACACATCATGATCTCAATGATCTAGGTCCATCCCTCCCCATCCCCATCCCCATCCCTCTGTCCCCAGTCCTCTGTCCTGTCCCCCTTCCTGGCCCCAGGCTCTGTCCCAGGTCTCTGGCCACCCCAGGTCTCTGCCCACCCCACTATGTGACTCAGGTCTCTCAGACCCCCTCTGTGTCTCTGTGTCTCACTATGATTCCCAGGTCTCTCTCAGGTCTCCTGTGTCTCTATGCCACTGTCTCTGTCTCATCCCCGGTCCCAGGTCCCCACTCCAGGTCCCAGGTCCCCACCCCACCATCCCAGGTCCCGTCCATCCCCCAGTCCCTGTCCTCCAACCCCACATCCCAGGTCCCCCAGGTCCCCAGGTCCCTGTCCCCATCCCTGCTCCAGGTCCTGTCCTCCCAGGTCCCCAGCAGTGTCCCCAGGTCTCCCCAGTGTCCTGTCCTCCCAGGTGTCCTGTCTCCCAGGTTCCAGGTCTCCCCAGTGTCTCAGGTCCTGCCTGTCCTCCCTGGTCTCTGCGTGGTCTCCGGTCCCCTGTCCCAGGTCCTGTCCCCATTCCAGGTCCCTGTCCCAGGTCCCGTCCCAGCCCCAGGTCCCAGGTCCCAGGTCCCAGTGTCCCTGTGTCCCATCCCCAGGTCCAGGTCCCCAGGTCCCCCCAGGTCCCACAGGTCCCAGGTCTCCCCCCAGTCCCAGGTCCTCCCAGGCTCCCAGGTCCTCCTGTCCTCCAGTCCCCCTCCTGTCCCCCAGGTCCCTCCAGGTCCCAGGTCCCAGTGTCCCAGGTCTCCCCAGGTCTCCTCCCAGGTCTCCCCAGTGTCTCTGTCCTGTTTCTCCCAGGTCTCTGCATCTCAGGTCCTGTCCTGTCTCTGTCCTGACCGTCTCTCAGCCCCAGGTGTCCCAGGTGTCCCAGGTCCTCTGTCTCCTCTGTCCATGTGTCCCAGTCTTTCCAGGTCTCAGGTCTCTGCATCCTCTCAGGTCTCAGGTCTCAGGTCTCTCAGGTCTCTGTCTCCCAGGTCTCTGTGTCCCAGGTCTCTGTCTCCAGGTCTCTGTGTCTCTCAGGTTCTGCCCCATCTTTCTGTGTCTCTCTGTCTCTCAGGTTCCCAGTCCCCTGTCTCTGTCCTGTCCCCTCCAGGTCCTGTCCCAGTCCTCCTGTCCTGGTCCTGTCCTGCCAGGTCTCCTCCGGTCCCCAGGTCCTCTGTCCTGTCCTGTCCTCTGTCTCTGTTCTCAGGTCTCAGGTCTCTGTCCTGTCTGTCCTGTCCTCTCAGGCAGGTCCTCCAGGTCTTGTCTCTCAGGTCTCCTCAGGTCTCTGTCCCCAGGTTTCTCTGCATCTCAGGTCTCTTTGTCCCAGGTATGTCTCAGGTCTGTCTGCGTCTCTGTCTCAGTGTCTCAGTCTCTCCATCTCTGTGTCTCTGTGTGTTCCCAGGTCCCCAGGTCCCCCATCCCCGTCTCAGGTCCCCCAGATCCAGACCCTGTCCCCAGTCTCTGTCCTCAGGTCTCCCAGGTCCTGTGTCCCCAGTCTCAGGTCTCTGCATCTCTGTCTGTCCTCCAGGCCCCCTGTCCTGTTCCTCAGGTCTCTGTCCCAGGTCTCAGGTTCTGCACCTCTGTCTGTCCCAGGTTCTGTGTCCCAGGTCTCTGTCTCTGCCCAGTCTCTCTGTGTCTCCAGGTCCTGTCCCCAGGTCCCCAGGTCCTGTCCCAGGTCCTGTCTCGTCTCTGTCCCTCCCATGTCCCTCTGTCCTCTCTCTGTCTCGTCTCTGTCTCTGTTTCAGGTCTCTGTCGTGTCTGTCTCGTGTTCCTCTGTCCGTCCCCCTGTCATGTTCATCTGTCTCTCAGTCTCATGTATGTCTGTCACTCTCTCTCTGTCTGTCTTTTTCTGTCCCTCTGTGTCTCTGTCAGTCCCAGGTCCCCCAGTCCCCCCATCCCAGGCTCTGACGTGTCCCGGTCCTGTCCCTGTGTCCTCCCCAGGTCCTGTCCCAGGTCCCCTGTCCGTCCATGTCCTGTCCCCCAGGTCCCAGGTCCTCCTCCATCCCAGGTCTCAGGGCCCTGTCCCTCCAGGCCTCTGTCCCAGGTCCTCCAGGTCCAGTCCCCAGATCCCGTCCCCAGGTCCTGTCCTCCAGGTCCCAGGTCCTGTCCCAGGTCCAGGTCCCTGTCCCAGGTCTCCTCCCAGGTCCAGGTCTCCCAGGTCTCTGCCACCCCAGTGTCTCCCTGCATCCCCCCCCCCTCTGTCCTTGTCCTCTCCATGTCTCGTGTTTCTCTGTGTCTCTGCATCCAGGTCCCAGGTCCCCCAGGTCCTGTCCTCCAGGTCCCAGGTCCTGGTCCTGTCCCCACCTCCCCCCTCAGGTCCCAGGTCTCCCAGGTCCTCCTGCCCCCCCCCCCCCCCCTCCTGTCCCCTGTCCTCCCCTGTCCTGTCTGATCCCAGTCCCCCCACCCTCTGTCCCAGGTCCCAGGTCCCCCAGGTCCTGTCCCAGGTCTTCCAGGTCTCTGTTGCTCCCTGTCTCCCCCAGGTCTCTCAGGTCCCCTCTGTCTCTCTCTGTCTCTCTCTCTCTGTCTCTGTCTGTCTCAGTCTCAGGTTCTCCCTGTTCTGTCCAGGTCCCAGGTCCCCAGGTCCCCAGGTCCCAGGTCCCAGGTCCCAGTCCCAGGTCCCAGGTCCTGTCCCCAGGTCCTGTCCTGTCTCCCCAGGTCCCAGGCTCTGTCCACCCCCAGGTCCTGCTCTCCAGGTCCCCCGGTCCCCCAGGTCCCCTGTCCTGTCCTGTCCTGTCCGTCCGTCTCTGTCCTCCCAGGTCTCCCACCTGTCCTGTCCCAGTTCTATGTCCTAGGTCCTGACGTTTCCCCCAGGGTCCCCCATGGTCCTTGTCCCTCCAGTCCCCCCTCAGGTCTGTCCCCAGGTCCCCTCTGTCTGTCCCTTCTGGTCTCAGGTCTGTCTCAGGTTCTGACCCTCTGTCTGTCCCTCTGTCTCTGTCTCTGTCTGTTCCTCTGTCTTGTCTGTCTCTGCACCTCTGTCTCGTCCCTTCAGGTCTCTCAGGCTCTCTCAGGTCTCTATGTTCATGTCTTTAGGTTCTGTGTCTCTGCACCTCTTGTCTGTCCCTCTGTCTCTCAGGTTTCTCTGTCCCCATGTTCTGTGTTCAGGTTCTGTGTCTCTGCACCTCTGTCCCCAGGTCTCAGGTCTCTTCAGGTCTCAGTGTCTCAGGTCTTTGACCTCTCTGTCTGTCCTCTGTCTCTGTCCTTCAGGTCTCGTCTCAGGTTCCTAGGTCTCTGTCTCTGTGACCCCTCTGTCTGTCCCTCTGCTCCCAGGTTCTCAGGTCTCTATGTCTCTGTGTCTTGTCTCTCAGGTCTCTGCACCTCTGTCTGTCCCTCTGTGTCTCAGGTCTCCTCTGTGTCTCTATGTCTCTGTGTCTTTGTGTTCCCAGGTCTCTATGTCTCTGTGTCTCTGTGCCTTGTGTCTCTGTGTCGCTCTGTGTCGTGTTCCAGGTCCCAGGTCCTGTCCCAGGTCCCAGGTCCTGTCCTGCTGTCCCAGGTCTGTCCTCTGTGTCCTCTGTCTCGTCCCCTGTGTCTCTATGTCCTCTGCATGTCTCTGTATCCAGTCTGTCTTTCAGGTCCCTCCCAGGTCTCAGGTCTCAGTGTCTCTTTCAGGTCTCTCTGTGTCCTGGCCAGTCTCAGGTCTCAGGTCTCCCAGGTCTCAGGTCTTCGTTCAGGTCTCTCCTGTGTCTCATGTCTCTATGTGTCTCTGTGTCTCTCCCCAGGTCCCCCCAGGTCCCAGTCCCCAGGTCCCAGGTCCCCTCCCAGGTCCCAGGTCCCCAGGTCCCAGGCTCCCCAGGTCCCTGTCCTGTCTCCAGGTCCCCGTCCCCCAGGTCCTGCCTGCCTGTCTCCCAGGTCCATCCTGTCCTTCTCGTGTCCCCAGGTTCTGTCCTCCACAGGTCCTCCCCAGGTCTCAGGTCCCCCAGCCTCCCCAGGTCCCCAGGTCCCCCAGGTCCCAGGTCTCCCCAGGTCTCTCTCAGGTCCTCTCAGGTCTCTATGTGTCTCTGTCTCTGCTCTCTGTCTCTGTTCTCTGTCTCATGTGTCTGCCTGTCTCTGTTCTCCCAGGTCTACCTGTCTCTGTGTCTCTGTCTCAGGTCTCTCAGGTTCTTAGGTCTGTCCCCTGTTCTGCCCCCAGGTCCCCAGGTCCTGTCCCAGGTCCCAGGTCCCCTGTCCAGGTCCTTCTGGTCTCTTCTAGGTCCCCCCTGGTCCCATCCTCCCAGGTCCCAGGTCCCAGGTCCCAGGTCCTCCAGGTCCTCCAGTCCCAGGCTCCAGGTCCCAGTGTCCTCTGTCCCAGGTCCCAGGTCTCAGGTCCCAGGTCTCCCCAGGTCTTCCCAGGTTTCTGTCCTGTCCCAGGTCTCAGGTCCTGTGTTCATGTCCTGTGCTCCACTGAGGTGTCTCAGGTCTCTGTCCTCAGTCCTGCTCTCCTGTCCTGTGTGTCCTGTGTCCCCAGGTGTCTCTCTCCTCCTGAGTCTCTGTATGTGTCTCCTCTGTCTCAGGTGGTCCCTCTGTGGTCCTGTCCCATCCCAGGTCCCCAGGTCCCCAGGTCCCAGGTCCCTGTCCTGTCCCAGGTTCCTGTCCTGTCCCCAGGTCTCTGCTCCAGGGTCTCTGTGTCCCAGGTCCTGTCTTTGTTCCAGGTCTCAGGTGTCCCCTCTCAGGTGTCTCAGGTCTCTCAGGCTTCAGGCCCTCCCAGGTCTCTGTGTCCTTGTCCTGTGGCACCTCCAGGTCCCCTGTGTATCAGGTCCCAGTGTCTCCTCAGGTCTCCATGTGTCTCCTGTCTCTCTCTCTCTGTGTCTCTCAGGTCTCTCTGTCCTGTCTTGTCCAGGTCTGTCTTTGTTCTCAGGCAGTGTCTCCGTGTCTTGTGTTCTCTCAGGTCCTCCCCAGGTCCCCTGTCCCTGCCTCCTCCCCAGGTCCCCCCAGGTCCCCCTTGTCCCCAGGCATGTCCCCAGGTCCTCCGTGTCCCATGTCCTGTCCCCCTGTGTCCCATGCATCCCCAGGTCCCAGCCAGGTCCCCAGGTGTCCCAGGTCCCGGTCCTCTCATTCCCCTGTCCCCAGGCCTCAGATCCAGGCCAGGTCTCCAGGTCTGATCCAGATCTCATGTCCCCAGCTCAGGTCTCCCAGGTCTCTGTGTCTGTGTGTGTGCATCCCCAGGTCTCAGGTCTCAGATCCTCTGTCTGTCCATCTGTTCTGTGTCTGTCTCAGGCTCTGCTGTGTCTCTATGTCTCTGTTCTTCCAGGTCTGTGTGTGTGTGTCCCCAGGTCTCTGTGTTCTGCACCTCTCTGTCTGTCCCTCCAGGTCTCAGGTCCCTGGTCCCCCATGTCCCCAGGTCCCTCTGTCTCTGTCTCTGTCTCTCAGGTGGCTCCAGGTCCCCAGGTCCAGGTCTCCCAGGTCTCTCAGGTCTCTCTGTGTCTATGTGTGTGTGTGTGTGTCCCTGTGTCTATGTGTGTCTCTGTCTCTCTCTCTGTCTCTCTGTCTGTCCCTCCATGTTTCTGTGTCCCTCTGTGTTTCTGTGTGTCTGTGTGTGACTCTGTGTCTCGCTGTGTCTCCATGTCTCTCTCTCTGTGTCTCTGTGTCTCTCTCTCTCTCTGTCTCTGTGTTTCTGTGTCTCTGTGTGTGTCTTTGAGTGTCTGTGTGTTTCTGTGTCTCTCTGTCTGTCCCTCCCTGTCTCTATGTCTATCTGTATGTCTCTGTATCTATGTGTCAGTCTGTCACTCTCTCTCTGTCTGTCTTTCTCTGTCCCTCTGTGTCTCTGCGTCTTTGTGTGTCTCTGTGTGTCTCTCTGTGTGTCTCTCTGTGTCTTCTGTGTGCTTCGATGTGTCTCTGTGTGTCTCTGTGTCTCTGTGTGTCTTTGTGTGTCTGTGTGTCTCTCTCTGTGTCTTTCTGCTTCTCTCTGTGTCTCTGTGTGTCTCTCTGGGTGTCTCTGTGTCTGTCTATGTGTGTCTCTTAGTGTCTCTATGTTTGTGTCTCTGTGTCTCTCTGTGTGTCTTTGTGTCTGTGTGTCTCTCTGTCTCTCTCTCGCTCTGTCTTTGTGTCTCTCTGTATCTCTCTGTGTCTCTCTGTGTCTCTCTCTGTATCTCTCTGTGTCTCTGTGTCTCTCTGTGTCTGTATGTGTGTCTCTGTGTCTCACTGTGCGTCTCTCTGTGTCTCTCTGCGTGTCTTTGTGTGTGTCTCTGTCTCTCTTTGTCTCTGTGTGTCTCCGTGTCTCTATGTGTGCCTCTGTGTCTATGTTTGTCTCTCTGTGCCTTTCTGTGCGTCTCTGTGTCTCTCTGAGTGTCTGTGTGTCTCTGCATCTCTCTGTGTCTCTGTGTGTCTCTGTGTCTCTCTGTCTCTCTGTGTGTCTCTCTGTGTCTCGGTGTGTCTCTGTGTTTATCTGTGTGTGTCTGTGTCTCTGTGTCTCTGTGTCTCTCTGTATCTCTCTGTGTGTCTGTGTGTCTTTCTGTGTCTCTGTTACCTCTCAGTGTGTTTCTCTGTATGTGTCTCTCTCTCTCTCTCTCTCTCTCTCTCTCTCTCTCTCTCTCTCTCTCTCTCTCTCTCTCTCTCTCTCTCTCTCTCTGTCTCTCTTTGTCTCTCTCTATGTCTCTCTCTGTCTCTGTGTTTCTCTGTGTGTCTCTGTATCTTTCTCTGTGTGTGTCTGTGTCTCTGTGTCTTTCTGTGTGTCTCTGTGTCTCTCTGTCTCTCTGTGTGTCTCTCTGTGTCTCGGTGTGTCTCTGTGTGTCTTTCTGTGTCTCTGTTACCTCTCACTGTGTCTCTCTGTATGTGTCTCTCTCTGTGTGTCCCTCTGTATGTCTCTCTCTCTCTCTCTCTCTCTCTCTCTCTCTCTCTCTCTCTTTCTCTGTCTCTCTCTGTCTCTCTCTATGTCTCTCTCTGTGTCTCTGTGTTTCTCTGTGTGTCTCTGTATCTTTCTCTGTGTGTGTCTGTGTCTCTGTGTCTCTCTGTATCACTCTGTGTTTCTATGTGTCTCTGTGTCTCTGAGTGTGTCTCTGTGACTCTGTATCTCTGTGTCTCTCTCTGTTTCTCTCTGTCTCCCAGTGTCTCTGTGTCTCTCTGTGTGTCCTTCTGTGTCTCTGTGTGTCTTTCTGTGTCTCTGTTACCTCTCAGTGTGTCTCTCTGTATGTGTCTCTCTCTGTGTGTCCCTCTCTCTCTCTCTCTCTCTCTCTCTCTCTCTCTCTCTCTCTCTCTCTCTCTCTCTCTCTCTCTCTCTGTCTCTCTCTGTCTCTCTCTCTCTGTCTCTCTCTGTGTCTCTGTGCTCTGTGTCTGTCTCTCTGTGTGTGTCTCTTAGTGTCTCTATCTTTGCGTCTCTGTGTGTCTGTGTCTCTTTGTGTCTCTGTGTCTCAGTCTCTGTGTGTCTCTGTTTCTCCCTGTTTCTCTCTCTGTGTCTCTGTGTGTCTCTGTGTCTCTGTGTGTCTCAGTGTGTCTGTGCGTCTCTATGTGTCTCTGTGTGTCTCTGTGTCTCTGTGTGTGTGTTTATATTTGTATATCTGTGTCTCTCTATGTGTCTCTGTGTCTCTCTGTGTGTCTCTCTGTGTCTCTGTCTCTGTTTCGCTCTCTGTGTCTCTGTGTGTCAAAGTGTATCTCTGTGTCTATTTCTGTGTCTCTGTGTCTCTCTGTGTCTCTCTGCGTGTCTCTGTGTCTCTGTGTGTGTGTGTCTCTGTCTCTGTCTATGTGTCTCTCTGTGTCTCTGTGTTTCTATGTCCGTCTGTGTCTCTCTGTGTCTCTCTGTGTCTCTCTCACTCTGTCTCTATGTATCTGTGTCTCTGTGTCTCTCTGTGACTCTGTTTCTGTCTCTCTCTCTGTGTCTCTATGTTTCTGTGTCTCTATGTTTCTGTGTCTCTATGAATATGTGTCTCTTTGTCCCTCTGTATCTCTCTGTGTCTGTATGTCCCCCTGTGTCTCTCTGTGTCTTTGTGTCTCTGTGTCTCTGCACCTCTCTGTCTGTCCCTCTGTGTCTCTATGTCTCTGTGTCTCTGTGTCTCTGTGTCTTTGTGTCTCTGTGTCTCTACACCTCTCTGTCTGTCCCTCTGCGTCTCCTCTCTGTCTGTCCTCTCTTTGTGTCTCTGTGTCTCTGCACCTCTCTGTCTGTCCCTCTGTGTCTCTATGTCTCTCTCTGTCTTTGTGTCTCTGTGTCTCTGCACCTCTCTGTCTGTCCCTCTGCGTCTCTGTGTCTCTCTGTGTCTCTATGTCTCTGTGTCTTTGTGTCTCTGTGTCTCTGCACCTCTCTGTCTGTCCCTCTGCGTCTCTGTGTCTCTCTGTGTCTCTATGTCTCTGTGTCTTTGTGTCTCTGTGTCTCTACACCTCTCTGTCTGTCCCTCTCTGTCTCTGTGTCTCTCTGTGTCTCTATGTCTCTGTGTCTTGTGTCTCTGTGTCTCTGCACCTCTCTGTCTGTCCTCTGCGTCTCTGTGTCTCTCTGTGTCTATGTCTCTGTGTCTTTTGTGTCTCTGTGTCTCTGCACCTCTCTGTCTGTCCCTCTGTGTCTCTGTGTCTCTCTGTGTCTCTATGTCTCTGTGTCTTTGTGTCTCTGTGTCTCTATGTCTCTGTGTCTCTGTCTCTTTGTGTCTCTGTGTCGCTCTGTGTGTGCTCTGTGTGTGTTCCTGTGTGTGTGTGTGTCTGTGTCTCTGTGTCTCTGTGTGTCTGTGTGTGTGTGTGTGTCCCTGTGTCTCTGTGTGTCTCTGTCTCTCTATGTCTCTCTGTGTCCCACAGTGTTTCTGTGTGTCTGTGTGTGACTCTGTGTCTCGCTGTGTGTCTCTGTGTCTGTCTCTGTGTGTGTCTCTCTGTGTCTCTCTGTCTGTCCCCCCGTGTCTCTATGTCTATCTGTATGTCTCTGTGTGTATGTGTCAGTCTGTCTTTCTGTGTCCCTCTGTGTCTCTGTGTCTTTGTGTGTCTCTTTGTGTCTCTCTGTGTGTCTCGCTGCGTCTCTGTGTCTCTCTGTGTCTCTGTGTCTCTCTGTGTGTCTTTGTGTGTCTGTGTGTCTCTCTCTGTGTCTTTCTGCGTCTCTATGTGTCTCTCTGTGTGTCTCTATATCTCTCTGTGTCTCTATGTCTCTGTGTCTCTGTGTCTCTGTGTGTCTCTGTCTCTGTGTTTCTGTGTCTCTGTCTGTCTGTGTGTCTCTGTGTCTTTCTCTGTCTCTCTCTCTGTGTCTCTGTGTGTCTCTATATCTCTCTGTGTTTCTATGTGTCTGTGTCTTTGTGTCTCTGTGTCACTGTGTGTCTCTGTGTGTCTCTGTGTGTCTCTGTCTGTCTGTGTGTCTCTGTGTCTTTCTCTGTCTCTCTGTGTGTGTCTCTGTGTGTCTCTATATCTCTCTGTGTCTCTATGTCTCTGTGTCTTTGTGTCTCTGTGTCTCAGTGTCTCTGTGTCTGTCCCTCTGTGTCTCTGTGTCTCTCTGTGTCTCTATGTCTCTGTGTCTCTGTGTCTCTCTGTGTGTGCCTCTGTGTGTGTCTCTGTATGTGTCTCAGTGTCTCTGTGTCTCTCTGTCTGTCCCTCAGTGTTTCTGTGTCCCTCTGTGTCTCTGTGTTTCTGTGTGTGTGTTTGTGTCTCTCTGTGTCTCTGTGAGTCTCTCTCTCTCTCTCTCTGTCCCTCTGTGTTTCTGTGTCTCTGTGTGTCTCTCTGTGTGTCTTTGTGTGTCTGTGTGTCTCTGTGTCTCTCTGTGTCTCTATGTATCTCTCTCTGTCTCTGTGTGTCTCTCTCTGTGTCTTTATGTGTCTGTGTGTCTCTCTATGTCTCTCTGCTTCTCTCTTTTTCTCTCTGTGTGTCTCTCTCTGTGTCCCTCTGTCTTTGTGTCTCTGTGTGTCTCGCTGTGTCTCTGTGTCTCTGTGTCTATCTGTGTCTCTGTGTGTCTCTTTGTGTGTCTCAGTGTCTCTCCGGGTGTCTCTGTGCCTGTCTCTTTGTGTGTCTCTGTGTGTGTCTCGGTGTGTCTCTGTGTCTCTCTGTGTCTCTCTGTCTGTCCCTCCGTGTCTCTATGTCTATCTGTATGTGTCTGTGTGTATGTGTCTGTCTGACTGTCTCTCTCTGTTTCTCTTTCTGTGTCCGTCTGTGTCTCTGTGTCTCTGTGTGTCTCTGTGTGTCTCTTTGTGACTCTCTGTTTGTCTCGCTGTGTCTCTCTCTGTGTCTCGCTGTTTCTCTCTGTGTCTCTCTGCGACTTTGTGTCTCTTTGTGTCTCTGTGT